GCATCCCGGCACAAAGGGAGGCTCCGCTGCCGTCCCCCCCCGCCGGCCGGTGCAAGGGGCCGGGGACCGGCACCGGGGGGAGCTGGAGCGGTACTGGGAGGACCTGGAGCGGTACTGGGAGCTGCAGGCAGTTGCACAACCCGCACTCGGCGGTGCTGGGGGGGCCGTGCAGCACCGGGGCAGCCCGTCCCTCCTCAGGGAATGGAGCAGCCGGTGCAGCGGTGGGGGGGAAGGTGATTCCTTCCCTCTTTTTCTTTCTTTTTCGTTGATTTATCCCCCCTTCCCATCCCTGAGATGCCGGGGGTGGGGGGGTTGGGTACCCATCTCAGTGCCCCCAGGGACCCAGCAGTGATGGGGCTGGAGATGCTGGCCTGGGTGTCTTCTCTGCAGCCATGGGATGAGAAACCCTGGCTCTGGGGAAGGTCCTGGACCAGGGAGGTGACCCCGCTGGAGGGGAGAAGGGGAGACATGGGAGGGGGGGTGTGGTGGGCAGAGGATGCTGGCAGGAGGTGGGCACAGAGCTGGGGCAAAGCCCACTGGGTGCGGGAAGGGGTGCACAGCCAAGGGGGGGGGCGTTTAGGGGGGTGACTGTGGGTCCCCAGGGGCAGCCAAGAGCTGGATGGGTGCTGAGGCTGTGTCCAGCTTTGGGCCCCCTACCATAAAAAAGCCATTGAGGTGCTGGAGCGGGTCCAGAGAAGGGCGACAAAGATGGTGAGGGGTCTGGAGAATAAGTCTTATGAGGAGAGGCTGAGGGAGCTGGGGTTATTCAGCCTGGAGAAGAGGAGGCTGAGGAGAGACCTTCTTGCTCTCTCCAACTCCCTGAAAGGAGGGTGTAGAGAGGTGGGGGTCGGTCTCTTCTCTCAAGTCCCAGGCGACAGGACAAGAGGAAATGGCCTCAAGTTACACCAGGGAAGGTTCAGGCTGGATATTAGGAAAAATTTTTTCACTGAAAGGGTTCTCAGCCATTGGAATGGGCTGCCCAGGGAGGTGGTTGAGGCACCATCCCTGGAGGTGTTCAAAAGAGGGGTTGATGTAGTGCTGGGAGGTATGGTTTAGTGATGATGCTCCTTGTTTGTTGTGTGGGTGTCTATTTTTGTCAGTGAGGTTGACGGTTGGACAAGATGATCTTTAAGGTCCCTTCCAACCTAGAAGATTCTGTGATTCTGTGAGATGGGCCTTTGGCTGCTGAGCCGCCCCTACAGAGTCTCTTCTTCCAAGACAAAGGGCCTGAGGAGGGGTTGTGTGGGGCTGCAGCGGTGGGTGAGGGCTGGAGACTGGGGTCTGGAGACTCTGGGTGCAGAGTGAGGGTGGGTGGGAGCTGGGGACAGCCCTTGTGCTGGGGTCACCTGCACAGATATCCCACGGGAAGGGGGGGTGACAGCCACACCGAGCTGTCCCTGGGAGCACAGCCAGCCCTGGCACGGTCCCCGGCATGAGCCCTGCTGTGAAACAACCCCCGTGTCCCCCGGGAGCTGCAGGGGAAGCAGGGGGATGGAGCAGGATTTTGTGATGCTGCATCCATTTTGCCTTTGAAGTCAGCCCGGGCCCAAAGTCACCTCCAGGTCCCTCAAAGTCACCCTAAAAACTAAACCCAGCGACTCACACAAGCGGAGGTATCACCCTGTGGTGCTGGGTGACAGCCCAGGTGATGGGCAGGGAGGACCTTGTGCCTGGAGACTCATGTCCTGGGGGAAACCTTAGCATGGGCTACGAACCCAAAATGACCACAGCCCGGTGGGAGCTCTCATTGCAGTGCATCCCTCACCCCTGTGGCTCTTTCCACCATTTAGAGGGACGGTGACGCCAGCTGTCCCCACACCTCAATCCTGACCCCCCCTTCTGCCCCGGGAGCGTGATGGATGCTTGGGCTGAATAAGCAAAAATGGACATTTTGGCAATTCCGGGGCTTTCCCAGGATGTGTCTCTAGTGGGAAGTCCATGGAAAGGGCCCCTTTGCTGAGGGCAGGATCCTGATGGGTCACGTACCCATCATTGGGTGGTTTTCGGGGGGGTCTGTGGCGCTGGGGAGGGTCTCAGGGGTGGCAGTGGTGTGTGTGTGACTTGAGGGACCCGAGCTGGTTCTCAGCTCCTGGGAGCAGCCACCCGGCCTTTGCTGTGTCCCCGCCGTGGTCAGGTTCTCTTTTAACAGGCATTAATTAGCGGCGCCGTTGCTCGAGGAGGCAAAGGGGGCATGGTGGCCTGCTTCACACTTCGGCATTTCCAGTTCACATGGAAAATGTCACGCCATGAAGCCCGTTGGTCGGGGTCGAGCCGAGCCCGTGGGGCAGGAGGGTGGGAGTCTCCACTGGCCCCCGTTATTGCCGTGGGGCAGAGCCCTGGGAGCGCTCGGCGAGGGGCCAGGAGGTAGCATTTTGGAGGTGGAAGCAGTTTTGGGCTACAAGACCCAAACGAGCATCCCTGGCAGGTTTTAACGGTGCCGCATCCTCTCGGATCCAGCCCTGTCCCAGCTGCGGGTGGTGGTCTCACTGGCTGATGGGGTGCAAGGAGAAGGGAGGGTTTGGAGGTGGCCACTGGCCAAGGGCTCTCTGGGCCTGGCGTGAAGCAGGAATTATCTGTGGGATATCGCAGGGAATGGGGTGTTTGAGGGAAGGATTAATTCCCTGCCCTTGGGGATCTGCGCCGTGTTACACAGGGGTCAGGTGAACAGCCTCTGATGCGGGGAGGCCAGATGGCAGCAGCGCCGCTGTCACGGGGGCAGAAGGGGAAGAAACAAAAGCCAGAAAAAGAAAATCACAGCCCCGAGGCTCCGGGATGTTTGCAGGGAGTATTATCCCTGAGCTTCCAGCTCCGTTACTCGCCCGCTCCCACGCAGGAGGTGGTGGTGGCAGCATCCCCTGCCCCTGGGGCTTTGAGAACGGGGGTCTCTGCCGAGAAGGGGCTCCCCAGGGCAGGAGAGGAGCCTCTCACAGCCCCGATGGTGAACCCCAGGGGTTGCAGAGAGCGGCAGGCTCTGCCTTTGTGATGGGGAGAGCCACAGCTCCCAGGCTCGGGATGCACAGCATCCAGCTCCTTGCAGCCCAGAGCTGTAATCCCCCTGCTTTTAGGGAATTTTAAGTGACCTACTTGCAGCAGGAGTTGCATAATAGTGAATATATATATATATATATATATACACACAAAAAGACTGAAGGTTCCACCAATGCTCAGTTTGGTTTTATAGAAGAAGTTGTCCTTGTCCAGCCGCCGCCGATCGGCGCCGAGCCTTGGTTTTCTTTTTTACCCACATTTTCTTTTCCCTTCCAGAGTCGCCTCCCGGGCATCAAGGTGAAATACCTGCTGGTGGTGTGGCTGGGCATCTTCGTGGGCAGCTGGGTGGCCTACATGCATTATTCCTCCTACTCCGAGCTCTGCCGTGGCCACATCTGCCGGATGATAATCGTGAGTGGTGGTGGCCAGTAGCCCCCATGGCCGTGCCGGTCCCCGTTTGGGGTGCCTGGGGTGAACAAGACCCCCATTTCCAGCCCTCTCCCCGAGCCCTGGGGGGGGATTTGCAGCTGGGCAGGCAGTGCCAGGGCAGCATCTGGGCTGAGGAGCTCTGCTGGCGGCTGCTTCCCCGGCGTCACGCGGAGCCCAGAGCGGGAGAGGTGACCTTATCCTGCCGGGGCGACAGCGACACGATTTAATGAGATGTCGGAGGGAAACGGGCCAGGGCAGATTAATGTCTGTGGAGATGAAGTTGCAATGTCAGCGCAGGATCTGCGGGCAGGGAGAGCATCGTGCCAGCCCCCCCCTCCCATCCCCACACCGCTGCAGAGACGGAGAAAAAAGGGGGGGGACGGCCAGTCCGTGGGTCCCTCTGTAACTCCTGGCGTGCCCCAAAGAAAGCACCACCCTGCACAAAGAGTACATCCCTCATGGGGGGTTGGCTCGATGCATTTTGCCCCCACCTGGGGTTTGCAGTGGGGCGCAGTCAGCTCAGCTCCCCACAGCACCCTCAGGGCCCCCCCAGGATGGCTGTGGCTGCCCCACGGCAGGGGAGCAGGTCGCCCACCCCAGCCCAGGGGAGGAGGGGGGGATGCCAGGCTCTGGCTGAAAACGCCTCCTGGCTCATCAGTCCTTGGGCAGAGAAGGGAGGCAGGAATTGCCATAACAACAGCGACGATCGTTTAATTTGATTTTCTGCATGACTCTGAGCACGGGGTCTTGTGTGCTGATTCCTGCTCTGAGCTGGGGGTTTAAAACACCGTGTCCCCCCTCAGCAGGTCAGAGGGTCAATGCCCGTCCCTGTCGGGGGGGGAGGAAAAAGAGGAACAAGATGCAGTGATTTTTTGTGGCTCCCGTTTCCAGCCCTGAGCCTGTTGTGCCCTCGCTGTGAAGCTGCAGCTTCTCCTGATGCCTCCAGCTCCCGACTGAGCTGCCCGGCTTGAGGGTCAGAGCCACCCTCTGTCCCTGTCCCTGCCCCTGCCACCGCCTGGGCCGGGGCCAGCCCATTTCACAGCTCAGCCCCTCCATCCTCATCCTCACCCAGCTCCATGTGCCCTCCCCTCCAGCCCTGGCAGCTCCCCAAGCCCCTGGAGCAGGAGCAAATCCCCTGTGGTCCCTCCAGCATCACGGAGGGAGGGGTCCCTGCCAACCCAGCCCCATTTGTCCCCACTGCCTGCAGCTGGGGGGGCTCTGCCCACAGCTGCTGCCTGTTTGGCCAGGGCTCAGCCCCAGGTGCACCTCCACACTCCTCTCCCCATACCTCCCCCATTAAAGTCCCTCCTCTGGGGCCAGTAGAAATATTTGGGTCTCAGAGCAGAGATTTTGGGCAGGGATTTTTTTGGAAGACACAAGGTGGGGAGTTTGGGGGGGAGCTGGAAGGAGCTGGGCTCTGAGCAACTGGCACTGCCTCTCCCCAGTGAAGGTCTGAGGACGAGGTGCTCCCCTCCCTCCCAGACACCCTGAACTGGCCAAAATGGCTACCAAGATGCAGATGATGATGCCCAAAGCCACCTGCACGCCCTGTGGCACGGCTGGGGTCCCCTGTGGCTGGTGGCACCTCACAGGCTGCCAAACCTGAGGCCAAAGTGATGGGGTGGTGACCCCAAGCAGCCCCTCTGTGCCCGAGAACCTCAAATCCCAGGAAAGAAGAAATTGTCAGCAGTTGGAGATACCAGTCTTGCCTCCAAACAGCCTACGTGGCTTTAAAATCAGATGTGCTTCTTTTAAGGGGTGTTTTTCTCTGCTGTAAGAGACTTGCATGAACTTAAGAGGGTTCACCGAGGACACGATGGCATCGATGATGTCAGGTACACAGGGTACATTGAAAAAACCCGAAGTTCTGGCCAAAGTGCTGCTGCAGGAAGGGGGGGATGAGGAGTTTGGGCACAGCAGGTGATGGGCACAGGGCTGGTGGCAGCACAGGAGGCTGGGGGGGCTCACACACCCCCAGCTGGTGTGTCTGGGGTGCCCCAGATCACAAGCTGTGGGACTGAGCCTGGATCCATCAGGCTTCTTTGGGCAAATAGGGAGCTCCTGCCACTGAGCTCCTCTCTCTGCCTTCCCCTCCCCAGTGTGACCAGTACAAGAAAGGAATCATTTCTGGCTCCACGTGCAAAGACCTGTGTGAGGAGCGCAGCCTCCTCTTCCAGCACTGCCTCTCCTCCTCTCCCACCCAGCAGGTAGGTCTCTGCCCCAGGATCTCCTCTGCTCCTCACCCCGTCCCTGGTACCTGTCCCAAACTGAACCAAACCCCTCTTCTCTGCACTTGCTGGTCTTCTCCTCCCGTCTCTGCTGTGTCCCCTCTCCTTTGCCCCAGGTTTACACTGGGCTCTGGAGGGAGAGGGAGGTGATCATCAAATGCGGCATCGAAGAAGCCTTGAAGGCAGACAGCCACCCAGACTCCGTGCCCAGGAGGGACGTGGTCCTCTTCGACAAACCCACCCGAGGGACGTCGATGGACGAGTTCAAAGAAATGCTCCTCAACTTCCTGAAGGTCAGTGCGGAGGGTTCCTCTGGGATCTTGCGGCCCCGAGATGCCACTTGTGAGTCAGAAAGACTAATTGTGTCTCCCCTTCCCCTTAAATGAGAGCTCCTCTGGCCCACGCTCCCCCATCAGCTGCTGGGTGCTGTCTGGCTCCTTACCCCCACTGCAGGGCGAGTACTGGGTTAGCCTGGAGAAACCTCCCTTCTCACTCAGGAATCTAATTTACAGGGCGTTAGTAGCCACAGTCCCCACTGTGATGGGGGTGTCTGTGCTGGGCAGAGCTTATTCACAAGCCCATGGGCAGGGACACCTCCCACCAGACCAGGTTGCTCCAAGCCCCCTCCAACCTGCCCTTGAACCCCTCCAGGGATGGGGCAGCCACAGCTTCTCTGGGCAACCTGGGCCAGGCTCTCACCACCCTCACACCAAAGAATTTCTTCCCCAGATCTCATCTCCATCTCCCCTCTTTCAGTGTCAAACCCTTCCCCTTTGTCCCATGGCTCCCCTCCCTGACCAAGAGTCCCTCCTCACCTTTCCTGTAGCTCCTTCAGATACTGGAAGGGGCTTCAAGGTCTCCCCGGAGCCTTCTCTTCTCCAGGCTGAACCCCCCAACTCTCAGCCTGTCCCCACAGCAGAGGGGCTCCAGCCCTCCCAGCATCATCCTTCCAACCACACACAATGCTACAGAACCAGATTTGTTCGAGGGGGGTGGCTGTTTCCTCCTCTCCCGCCCTCAGTTCTTTGCTTCCCCAGCTCAGTGTCGTGATGTGAAACCCAAACACAGGGAGCTACAAGGCTCTGATGCTCCTTCTTGTTCTGTTCACAGTCCAACCTGGGGGATCAGCCTTCTCTTGCAGCCCTGGTGGGCCGGATCATCTCCATGGCAGATGTGAACCGGGATGGGAAGGTGTCTTTAGCAGAGGCCAAGTCCGTCTGGGCGCTTCTTCAGCTCAATGAGTTTCTTCTCATGCTCTCCTTGCACGAGAAGGAGCACACTTCCAAACTGCTGGGGCACTGCGGGGACCTCTTTGTCACGGAGAAGATCCCCCACACCTCCCTCTACGGCGTGGATGTCCCCCCTTTCCTCCAGTCTCTGCTGCCTTCGGTCGTCCACCAAATCATCCACCAGTGGTTTGCACCAGCCTGGCCCCGGCGGGCAAAGATTGCCATCGGCCTCCTGGAGTTCGTGGAGGAGATATTCCATGGGACCTACGGGAACTTCTACATCTGCGAGACCGGCTTCAAAAACGTGGGCTACAACGACAAATACGACTTCAAGATGGTCAACCTGCGGAAGGTGGCGACGGAGATGACAATCCGAGGGTTCCTCAAGGGCCGTCACTGTGAGCAGAACGTGGACTGCACCTACGGGCAGGACTGCACGGCCACCTGCGACAAGCTCCTCAAGCAATGCAAGAGCGAGGTGGTGCAGCCCAACCTGGCCAAGGTCTGCGGGTTGCTGCAGGACTACCTGCTCTACGGGGCGCCGCTGGAGCTGAAAGAGGACCTGCAGAAACAGCTCCGAACTTGCATGACCCTCAGCGGCTTGGCCAGCCAGATGGAAGTCCACCACTCCCTCGTGCTCAACAACCTCAAGACCTTGCTCTGGAAGAAGATCTCAAACACCAAATATTCCTAACGGGGAGGGGAGGGGTGGGGGGTGGGAAGCACAGCCCGGGAGTTCAGCATCCTCACTCTTGGAGTCAATCCAAGGGCTGAAGGCCTGTTTCTTCCATCTTTTCCCTTCCCACCAGGAAAAATACACCCTGCCCGGGGAGCTGAGCGCATCCGCGGCCCCTTCTCCTTCATGGAAACCCAAGCTTCATGACTTCCACCACCCAGCAGGACCATGGCTAGTTGGGAAGAGCGTGCTGCGGAGCTGGGATACCGGGATGGATGAGCAGGAGTGGGGGGAAGGAAGATGACACGGGGAGCAAGAAGGAAGGGGAGCCCAGCTGGACACATCCAACTCCTCCTCCATGGCCAGGAGAGCAGCAGAGAGACGGGAATGAATCATTCATGCTGTACTTGTCACATCCTCTTTTGATGAACGGCTCTGATGTAAATAAATAGCTTTTACGTGAATCACACCCGTACATCGATAGCGAAATGGCAGCCTTTAAAGTACCAGCTTGCTTGTGAGCTCAAAAAGGAGAAAAAAACAAAAAAAAAAGGTAGATTTTCCCTATTCAGAAGTCTCTCCTTCAGCGTCTGAGTCACCCGCCCTCAGATCCAGCTGTAACTTAGGAAGGAGAAAAGCAGAGAATCCTGGTGGTTCTGTCATTCCCCCTTTTTTTAAGTGCCTGACCCCCCCGACAGCGGAGCCACCGTTCCCTCTCACCTGGAAGCACCCAAGGCCAAGGATAATTTAAAGGAAAAGGGCTAAACGTGAACAATTCCGAGGGGTTACCGCGTGTGCTGCCTGCAGCGGGGATAAAGCCAACTTTTTGGGTTAATTCTCCTAAAAACTAAGCTGGGTTTGCGCCACAGAGGTTGGAGATTTAACACCAGAATAACCCAGCGCTTCTCCCGTTACTGAAATGAATTTCCAGGCAAGTTTTCTGCAGTGCTTCAAGACGTTTGTTTGGCTGTGTAAATAAGACCAGGCCTGTTTCCTTGGAGTTCACACTTACAACAACCTTTTTTAAAACTCTGGGTGGGGAGGAAGAGTGTGTGTCAGCCACCCCGAGCTTGCCCTGTTCCTGGCACAGTCCTATTCCTGCTGATGGACCACCAGTGCTTTTGCCAACCATCCCTCAGTGGAGTGTGTGTGTCACAAGGACAATCACGGAGAAAAACCCCACACCTGGGAGCACCTACAGCCCGTGAAGGTGATGGGGTAGCACCATGGCCACGAATTTATGGGCCCTCTGGAGCAGAGATATCAGCATTTCCTCCTATTAATTTATAGGATCATTGTTCCCTCTCTCTGGGGACAGTTTGGTGTCACCACTGCTCTACATCCAGCTCCCGCTGAGAAGTTGGGCTTCCCAGTATAATTCCCTGGTGGGAAGGTGGAGTCTTGGTGAGGTTTGTGTGTTTGAAGGGTGAGGAGTTCCTCAGCCCCTCAGAGCCACCCTTCATCGGGTCCTAAAACCACAGAGCTGGGCCAAGGCCCCACACTGGTGTGAACTGGTGCGTACTGGTGTGTACTGGTGCAGGTTCCCCTGCATGGGAGCTGTCAGGAGGGTGAAGGGGAGGACTGGAACTGGGAAAAAAAACCCATGTGGCTGCTCTGGCTCCTCCTCTCTTGTCCTGCATCCCCATGGCAACCAGCGCCACCCACTAATTAATTTTCTTCTGCTATTAGAGAAAGGAACCCAACGACGGTGCCAAACCCTCTCCTCAGGTTCTCAGGAAAGCCATTTTTCACCCTCCCCCCCCTCTCTCTCTCTCTCTTTGTAATTTATTAGTACATTTTGCCCAGGTAAGCATCATTCCCACCACACTTACTCCCCGCTGCTCCCCAAGCAGCGTTAGGTAACGCAGCGGGTCAGCACCTAAAAAAGAGGAAAAGCCCATTTCTTGCTTATCTGCATAAATATCAGAACCTCTGTACGCATTTACGATGAAGTTCAAGGAGAGACACCCCCTGTACTTAAAAAAAACCCCCTAGCCAAAACAGCTTTATTATTCAAATAAAGACACTTCTGACAAGAACTGTCACATTACTGCATTATTGACCCCCCCCACCCCAGGGGACACTCCCAGGAACCGTTTATGACTCACAGCCCCAAGAGAACCGGGTTTTCTTCATCACTAATAAAAAGCCCCAGTGTTTTCAGACACGTGCTGCTCATGGTTTACAGGCTGCACTACAATACGGGAGAAAAATGACTCAAGGCGAAGTTATTTTACACTCAGGCCTGCCCCAGATTTCCCATGTTAGCTGGAAAAAGAGGAAAAGCCACAACGCAGAGAGACCAACCATCTGATCTCACCAGATGCTGCTGCTTCAGCAGCAGATTCCTCCTCCAAGGGGGTGGAGATGAGCAGCAAGATTTCTACCCTTTGTTGTTTGAAGTAAAAAACCCATCCCAGTCCTCACAGCCACAAATAAAAGTCTCAAATGCTAGCATGGGTAAAAATTATTATTACTTGGGGTGCTATAAATACACAGGTATAGTCATTTCAGGCTTATTGTAGGTAGCGTATTTATTTAGTTTTGGGGGTTATTTAAAAAAAAAAAAGCTTCATAACCACGTAGAGAAAACAGGGACTGAATCAGCAGTGATTTAGGATATGGCTGTGGAAGCAGCATGTGAGCTGGGCTGGCAGGGGGAAGGGCAGGGTTACAGCTCCCCCGACTACTCAGGAGCTCAGCAAAAGCAGGACAGACACTCGGAGCAGAACAGCTGTTAATTTTTTATATTATACATAAATACAGTCTACATTTGAGTGCCCAGGGTGCAGAGAACATTCAGAACCAAAACAGGAATCTTCAAACACAGGCACCACTAACCATTCCTTCTGCTGTAGCCACGTTTGCTGGAAATTCTAGAAATCATGGCACAATCTGCAAATAAGAAAAGGCCCAGGATGTCAGACAACTTCAAATACAGCCAGCAATAGTTAGCAATAAATGCCAATTCTAAACAGCTACTTAATCCATACCATCCAGCCTCCAGGTCACTCTGAGCTAAGGCACTGCAGCTGGGGGGGTCAGAAAATTGCTTTTAAGTTCAGAGGCAACACCTTCAGTGGATCCATGAATTACATCAGGTTTGTCTTGGACCTGTCCAAAGTCTTCTTAATATCCTAGAGGGGAAAAAGAAGCTTCATAAACCTAATATTAGGGAAGTTATAGCTGAGCTCTGTGTCGATGAGTCACAGGGAAAACTTCAGAAAGCAATTTACAAAAGAATTTACAGAACCAGAGAGCACCGTAACGGGCTCCACTCACTGCAGGCAGTGTCTGCAAACTCATGTGGATCAGGACCTAAAGCAGTGAGAGAAGCAGATGGAACTCATAAATTAGACTAATTTAGGAGAGGTTCTTTGTCACTACATCAGAACAGTTTTGGAAAAAAAAAAAAAAATAAAAAATCTTCTGGTGAGGCCAAATGTGCTCTGGCAAGTAGAGGAAAGGGGTAATTTAACAGCACGAGAGCTGGAGCTTGCTCTTGGTTACTCTTTCACTTACACTCCCTTAAAAAAAAAAAAAAAAAAAAAAATCAAAGGCAAGTTTGCCAAGCCCAGTGCAGAGACACGCTATTAATAGCACCAAGAAAGAAAAGCTGGTCTTATTCCTGCCCTCAAAGCCAAGGCATAAACCAGTTCTAAACAGTGAAGGGCTATGTTAAAGTGCAGAATTTTTTAAAATTTCTCTCAAAATTATCTCAATAGAAAAATATTCATCTTTTCCACAGCTGAGAGCCAGGTAATTCTTTCAGTAAAGCAGTATTTGTAGCCTGGGATTGCTGCTCAGTCTTGGGAAGATGGTTAACAGCAAATGCTATTAGGAGAATTGTAACAGCCACCCCATGGCTCACAGGGTGAAGTTTTAATGAGAGCATCATTAGGTGCTCACTACCCCACAGGATCCTTGATGGGAGTAAAGTCTGATGAAAAAACCCTTTAAATATGTATTTCAGGGTTTAAAGAAGCCAGGAAATTAAAGTGGAAGACTCACTTCTTCAGGCATGCCTCTTTGCATAACTGTATCCCCAACAACCTTATTAGCATTCTTTTCCAAAGCCACTGCTGGTAGCCAGTGACTTTTCCCAATTAAATGGCTCATTTTGCAGCCAGCAGTTCCCCACGTGGTTAATGGCACCTTTGGCCCTCATAATGCCCATTTAATGAGAACATTTTCCACCATTTAGCACTGCCAGGTTCTGTCAAGCCGTTAGTCACCCACAAAGCCTCTCCAGAGTGTCACAACAGCATCCATCTGCAGCCAGGGCTTCTCTCCCAAATTGTTCCAGTGACAGCAGCAGCTCACTTGCACCACGTCACCCCAGAGAGGACAGTGACACCCACAGCTATTCGGATATATTGACACCTATTGCCTTTTATTTCTTTTTTTTTTCATTATGCCTAAGGCACAAGCTCGTTATTTTGCACATCTGTGACACAAACATGTTTTTCAGTAGCATTTGGGGTCAGCCTGGGGCAGTCCCAGAGCCTGTTCCGTTATCGCAGGCACTCAAATATACATCAAAGTGGGAGCTCTCAACAGAAGTGTCTTGTTCTGACTCCCAGCTGCCCTTAAAAAGACACATTTTGGGAGCTGAGAAAGGCAGTTTGAGGAAGGGAAATAAAAAAATTAATCACAAGAGTGTTTAAGATTGCTTACAAAAATTACTGCATTAGTGAAACAGAGGAACCTGAAAGCACTCCACCTGAAGTAGGGGTTTGTCAGCAAAAAAAAAAAATAAAAATACTGAATATTAAGTTCTTTCTGCCAAGTATGCACTAGTAGCATTTAATTTTTTATGGTTTTTTATTTGCCCATGTCCCACAAAAAGTCAGGAGGGACAAGACTGTACCAACCCAGTGCCTTCTGCCCAGACACGGACCGTTTTGGAAACATGCTGAGGTTTAGCACATTTCCAAGAAATGACTAATACCCACCTTCAACATCTGAAGCAAGTTTTCCAGAACTCACTCCCGTTCTCAAAAGTAACTGTAAGAAGAAAAAAAGATCTTCACTTCGGGTTTTTTGGGGGAGGGGGTAGTTTGTTTGGTTGTTTTTCCTCCCCCTTTCCCCCCCACCAGCAGGATATAAAGCTGCATTTCAGAAGACTGACGACTGCACCTTCTGGTCCAACTTACTCCATTCCCTTGGAAGTCAAAATGTTGTTGGCTGAGTTCTTTATTAATGCTGGGAACAGGGTGCAATTTTCTCCACATGCCAAATCCACACCTAACTATTTACTTGTATATAAATAGAATTTAAGAATAGAGCTGTCACTTCTATTTGTCCTTGCAAACAAACAAAAAAAAAGAAAGGATCTTTCCCCAATGCAGTTAAAATTGGCATCTTTTTAACTCTTTTCAAAGGAAATCTGCTCCATCTTCCACCAAGTCTCTGGAGGATGAGGTATGCATGGAAACAGTGTCAAACTACTCATCTCTGAGCAGTTACACATTTCAGGCACAGGAAGCACCTTCATCTCCAACCTCTAACGACATTAATTTGTCAGGAGAGCAAATCTCCAAGGACTCAAGACTATTAGAATAAATAATACTGGAGTTTGCCATTCCTCTGTACCAATAAAAGATACGAGTTTCAAGAAACCTGATTTAGCTTTTAACATTGTGAGTAAAACATAGAAGTTTTACTTCTAAAACATTGAATGTGATGGCAGGAAAGTCAGTTAGATCTCTTATCTGTCTCATAAACAAGGTATTCATTAAGCAAATGACAGTCACGCTGTACCTTCTGTACCCTGCCCATCATTCACAATTTAAGATTAATAATAAAGAGGAAAAAAACCAAACAAAACAGGAAAAGCAAGAAATAATTGTCAGGTTGCTCATCATTCCTGAGTGCCCACAGGTTGCAGAGCACTAGCAAAGACGTTGCCTTTTCCTCTCTGCCACCCAATGACACAGACATGGCACTGCAGCCACATCTGCAACACGAGCTGGGGCAGGGAGCTGTTCCACAGCAGAACTTCCACCCACTGCTGCTCACCTCGGGTCTTGAGACCTCCTGGGCCCACCACGTCACAGGGCTTCCTTTGGAAAAGAAGCAGAAAAATATAGACAGCTTAGACACACTTCAAAACCTGGTTATATGGTTACTGGCTCACTCATGACAGATATTTGAAATGTCCAGCAAGAGAGGAAAACTAAAGATATAAATGCAAAGTGTAGGTGTGGGTTTTTTCAGAGAGGAAAAGGGTTGATAGCCACCAGCATGTGGCTGTGCTCCCAGTGATGTCACCAACGTGCCACGTGGCTTTAGAACAGATCACTCTGACTCATTCTTCTGTAATATAAATCTACTTTCCAACAGGATCCTACCGTTTTCAAGGCCAAATAATCAGAAAGCCACACACAGCCCTCCTGCTGCAAACCCACTGCAGGTCAAACACAACCTTCCTCTGCTGTTTCATACAGATCTCGCATTGAAGGCAATTAAAACCAAAACCGAAGGGGAAGGCTTCCTTTCTCAAGAGTCTCCTATTAACCAGCCTATTTATAATTAGTGTCAGGCTATCAATCACTCTGAGTGCTCACGGGCTGCAGAGCAAACGAGCGTAGAATATAGCCTGTCTCTCTCTGCCACCTAATGACACAAAGATGCCACCACAGCCACCTTTGCAACGCCTGTGGCAGGCTGAAAAAAAAAAACCACCACAAAAAACAACCCCAAAGACTGAGAAATGTGATAATTACACCTATTTGCAAGAACGAGATTATACCACCTACTCATAAAGTAGTATTAAAGCTCTCCTCTGCGTTAAGCACCGCTTACCCTTGATTTTTCAAGATGCACGATCTTTTTCGCTTCACCCTTTGTCTTCTGCCAGGCTGAAAAAAAAAGACAAATAAAAAAGAAATGGAGAAGGATACAGTTAAAAACGCGTTGTTTAGCTGACTGCTTAACAACCTTTTTTGTTAACTACGCCACTTGACAAAAAAGCAGTAGACTAAAACGTAATTACAAATCAAACCACCCAATATATCGTTTGCTAAATGGATTCACTGAATAGATTCACCTCTGGAGGCAGCGGCCCTCAATTTTCTCCCCTCGTTTAATGGAATCGCCGCCGCGTTTACTTTAATATTAGTATATTCCTATATATCAGTTTGTAACATACCCGATCCGGAGCGATGAGCACCGGACAGGGCCCTGGGGGTCCCCTGCGGGCTGTGTCCGCACATTTTGTCCCCCTGAGGCCCAGAGCCCCGGGGAGGGGGCACAGACTGACCCCCCCTTTTCCCGGGGGCCACCCAGCCCAGTCAGACCAGGTTCACCCGGCCGGACACGGGATCTCCCCCCCACACCCCATACCTCCATCCCGCCTTCCATCCCCCCCAGCACGGGAGGGGGGACCCTGCCGGGCCGTAGCCACCTCCTCACGCCGCAGCCTTCCCTCCTTCAGCGACGGGGGAGACGAGAGGAGCGGCGGGAGCGGCCGCCGCCATCAGGGCCAGGCCTCAAGGAGCTTCGCCACAACATGGCGCGGGGAAAGGCCAGCGGCCGGTGGTCGGGGTGGCGCGGGCCCTGCTGGGAAGGACCCTCCTCAGCGGGAACCAGCAGGACTGGGAGAGGCGCCATGTGCCCCGCCAGGACGGAAAGAGGCCGCTGCGGCCCTCCCCGCCTCACCCCGCCGAGAAAGGCAGCGCAGCTCCCGCCTTCCGCTTATATAGGACGGGCGGGCGGAAGCGGCGCGGGGACGATCTGCGCAGCCTCTTCCACCTCCCCTGCTGCCGCCAGCGCCCCCTGCCGGCCCGGAGGGCGCAGGGAAGGGCCCGGGACACCGGAGCGGGGCACAGGACAAGGACAGGGGGGGACACCGGTGCTGGGACCCCCCAGCCCTAAACCCACCCCGCGGAGACACAAAGGCGCGTTAGGGGCTGGGTCTCCCCTTTCTCAGCCGCACCCCGCAGTCTGCCCCTCCCCGTGGTGGTGGCAGAGTTTGGACCCTGGGACAAAACCCTCCAACCCTGGGATGCATCAGCCGGCCTTGTGTCCCCTCGTTGTGTGTCCCCTGGCTTTGTGTCCCCCTGGCTGTGTGTCCCCCTGGTTGTGTGTCCCCCTGGCTTTGTGTCCCCTCCCGCCCCTGGTCCACGATGCCTCGACGGTCCCCCCCCTGAGACCACAAAACCTGCCAGAGGCTCCCCCTGTACCTCCCATTTCACAAGGGATGAACGAAAAACGATCACAGCAACCTTTATTTATACCAAGAAGCAGCCCGAGATACAAGTGGTTTCAGGTGAGATCACAAGCTCAAGAACGGGAAGGCCACAGGACAAGAGACCCCTCCTTCCAAAAGGGACAGGAGCTGGCTCTGCCCTGGCTCTGTCTCCCCTCACATCGCTCTGGATAATTTTATTTTGAGCTGGAGAGACCGCCCTGGGACCTCTTTGTGGTGGCAGAGCTGCTGGGTCCCTTCCACAACCAGCCCAGCTCCACCAAAAGCTGGTGCTCTGGGTGCAGGGCCAGAGGGAGCGGAACAGGATGCCCATCACCAAGGCTCTGGGCACGGCCAAGCCCATCCCTCGGGCTCTATTTGGCCTCCGCTTTGCTCCGCAGCTCGTCGATGACCTCACTCTGCCTCCTCTTGTCCTTGGCGCGGATGATGGCCATCCTGAAGAGCTTGCAGTAGAGCTCCATGGCGCTGGGGCTGTCGTCATTCCCGGGGATGGGGTAGGTGATCAAACAGGGGTTGCAGTTCGTGTCCACCACCCCCACCGTGGGGATGTTCATCTTGGCGGCATCCCGGATGGCCACGTGGGGCTCGAAGACGTTGTTGAGGCTGCTGAGGAAGACGATGAGGTCGGGCAGGCGGACGCCGGCCCCGAACTGGATGTGTGCGTTGGTGAGCAGGCCGCCCTGCCAGTAGCGCGTGTGGGCGTACTCCCCGCACTCCCGCGCCGTCCTCTCGACCAGGTGGCAGAACTGGCGCCTGCGGCTGATGAAGAGGATGATGCCCTTGCGGTAGGCGATGTGGGCGGTGAAGTTGAGAGCCAGCTGGAGGTGCTCCATGGTCTGATCCAAGTCGATGATGTCCTGGTCCAGGCGGCAGCCGAAGATGTAAGGCTCCATGAACCTGCTCGGGGACAGAGGGAGGGCGACACAAGGGGACGCGGGGATGGGGAGCTACAGGCATCCAGCAGTGCTTCCAAACGCGGTGGTGGCCCCAGGGAAACATTGCCACATCCCAGCTCCCACCCAATATCACAGAATCACAGAATCTTCTAGGTTGGAAGGGACCTTAAAGATCATCTTGTCCAACCTAACTGACAAAAATAGACACCCACACAACAAACAAGGAGCATCATCACTAAACCATATCAGAGGAGCTTCCTGCAGCATCTGTCCCAGCCAGGCTCTGGGGGGAGCATGTCCCATACCCCATCGGTGCCCATGTTGAGTGGGATCCCTGCACTTCTGCAGGGCAGTAACATTGCCCAGGACGAGTTGTGGGTCTGCAGGGGCAGTTCCAGCCCCACACCGACCCAGTGCAGCCCCCCAAAGGCTCACACGCTGTGGGGAAAGGCTCCTGATGTCAACGAGGGCCGGACGACGACAAGGGGTCACTCACCGATGGCGACATCCCTTTTTATGCCCCAGGTGCACCCGAGCATCGAAGAGATCTTTGAGGGTGAAGAGCTCCTTCACGTTGAAGAAGTCGGGGTGGCTGAGAGGCTCGGAGAGCAGCTTGTCATCCGCAGCTGAGAGAAGGGGGAAAAATAATGAATAAATCACTGTTCCCTCACTCTTCCCTGCTGTTGTGTTGGCAGGGGATGAGCTGGGACCGGAGAAAGCCCCTTGATGAAAACAGCAAGGGCCTGGAGATGACAAGGACATTGCTCATGGCCTGACTCCCGGTGCCGGGGGTCCGGGGGGAAGGTGCCGGTGGGCGGCAGCACTCACCGTGGGGCCGGGCGGCCGGTGCCAAGGCCGGGACGCTGCTGTAGAGACGCGGGGCTGCTGCGGGGAGAGAAACACGGGGGTCACACGGAGGGACCGGACCGGGCCGGGCTCGGTGGGACCGGGGTGGGCTCCACCACCCGCTCACCTGCCCGCAGGAGCCGCGGCACCGCCATGCTCCCTGCCCGGGCGAGCGGGAGGAGCAGCAGGAGGAGGAGGAGGAAGGTCAGGAGGCTCTTTCCGCTTCCGGCGGGGCGGGGGGCGGACCCGCTGCCATCGTTACCCGGCCTCCGCGTCCCGTCGCCGGGCAACGCGCGTCCCCGCCGCCCGCTCCCCGCCGCCATGTCCCGCCCGGAGCCTGCGGGAGGCCCCGCTCCCCGCACCAGCGACTGGTACCGCACCGGCCCCGGGCTGCCCGGCCGTTTCCAGCAGCCAGCCTGCTTCCGCGGCTACGGGTGAGACCGGCCACCCAGCCCCGGCACCGGGCGAGCGCGACCCTCCGCCCCCCCCCGGTCCCGGCAGCCCCGCTGTGCTCTCCCCCCGCAGGAAACCGGAGCCGCACCCCCTGTACCGGACCACCAACCAGACCTACGGCAGCAGAGCCCCCACCGTGCACGAAGTGCCGGTGAGTTTGGGGGTGCAGGGTGATGGAGGCACCCCCCGGGCTTCGGCTGGGGGTTTGGGAGATGGAGCCTCCGGGTTTTGGTCTCCGCAACAGAGAATCAGCACAGTCTGGGAGGGAAGGGACCTTAAAGCCCACCCAGTGCCACCCCCTGCCCTGGGCAGGGACACCTCCCACCAGAGCAGGTTGCTCCAAGCCCCCTCCAACCTGGCCTTGAACCCCTCCAGGGATGGGGCAGGCACAGCTTCTCTGGGCAACCTGGGCCAGGCTCTCACCACCCTCACACCAAACAAGTTCTTCCCCAAATCTCATCTCAATCTCACCTCTTTCAGTGTCAAACCCTTCCCCCTCATCCTAGGGCTCCCCTCCCTGATCCAGAGTCCCTCCCCATCTCTCCTGGAGCCCCTTTAGGGACTGGAAGGGGCTCTAAGGTCTCCTTGGAGCCTTCTCTTCTCCAGGCTGAACCCCCCAACTCTCTCAGCCTGTTCCTCCCAGCAGAGGGGCTCCAGCCCTTGGAGCATCTTCATGACCCTCCAGCACATCCACATCCTTCTGCTGTTGGTGGCCCCAGAGCTGGAGGCAGCACTGAGGGGGGGTCTCCTCAAAGCAGAGCAGAATCCCCCCCTTGCCCTGCTTGCCACGCTGCTGGGGATGCAGCCCAGGATATGGGGGGGCTCTCTGGGCTGCCAGGCACATTGCTGGGCTATGTCTAGCTTTTCATCCACCAGCACCCCCAAGTCCTTCTCCACAGGGCTGCTCTCCACCCCTCCATCCCCCTGGCTACGAACTCCCCGAAGCAGATGAAGTCCCCTTCTCGTTGCATCCAGGCTTCTGCACCCAGCAGGGGCTCTTGGTGCCTTAAAACCATCTTCTTCCTCCCCTTTTCTCACTCTCACAGACCTCCTTCCACGTCACCTCGCACGCCTTTTCCAACAGCCTGGGGCAGTGTGGCATGTACAAAGACAACGGGCTCAACACCTCCCTGGAGAAGAGCCACGTCACCGGCCCAGACAACTTCATCACCGCTTACGACCACTTCAACTTCCACCCCAGCTACAACCCCAGCGGCCCGTCCTGCTGTTAGACCTGCCCCGGTGCCCATGACAACGTGAAGCCACTTTACTGCTGGCTGCCTAGTTAAAAAAACCCCAAAATACAAAAAAACCTCTGTATAACCAAACAGCAGCACTGACCTTATCCTAAATCTGTCGCTAAGCCCCGTCTGACAGCGTGACAGGAGGCACCGTGTGGTGGCTAAACGAGGTTAAGGGTATTTGACTGAGAATATCAATAATATTGCTTTTCAAAATGCCTTTGAGTGTATGGGAATGCTGTGACAGTGACAGCAAACCTGGGCAGCACACCTTCCCGAGGGCTTTGGGAATAACACCCAAATCAGTATTTTTGGATATTTCTCACCCACTATTGACTTTGTGAAGATAAGTGGGGAAAGGGCAATTAGTACAGGCTGATCCTGTGGCACCAGTGGTGTGTCGGCTGCGAGGGTCCACACTGCTCCAGAGATACTGAAAGTGTGAGTTGTTATCACCAAAGAGAGCAAAATCATACAGACTGCCAGGAAAATAACTCATAAGGCACAATAATCAGCAGATCAACATGTGCTTCACGCTATTAACCACCCAAGGCAGCATTTAATGAGCATTTTTCTGTTGAACACAGGACAAAAAAATATCTTTCAGCTTGGTAATGTGGGACTTGCTCTTACAATGTGATGAACAGCTACAGAATCAGCCAGTTGAAGGTAGCAGTGCATTTCTAAGAGTAACCCCAAACCCAAACTGGTTTATTTACTCTTATTTCTTTTTTAACAGGACTCCTCCCTAGTTCACAAGGTCACAGATTTAGCTTTGGGGGAAAAAAGCAGTTAAAATCTGTGTTAGCAAAACTGAGGTCAGTTAATTTGTGGGAGAACATACACACAGCCACTTTGGTACTAGATGAAAATAATTGATGGACAGGACGAATGTTATGAGGAATAATATCTTAATTTAGAAAGATTTCACGTGATTAAAGGTCAGTTAAACAGCTCATATGAGCCATTTTACTTCATTTATGGGCAGCACATAGTTGTAACTACCAGAACAACATAAGTTATATATATTCCCTTAAGCTTTTCTCTGTCACTGAAGATCCTTTAAACACTTGGCTCATGTACGACATAGCATTAAAAATTAAGAATTTAAAACTGTTTCTGTACTACTTAATGAACAATCAAACTATATGTTTTCCAGAGATATTCACTGAGCCTTCGGATTTCTTGTAGAAAGCACATTCATCTTTCTTGCCTCTCAAAACCACAATGTTTTAAGAAATTATTCAAATAAAGACAACTAATCAAAAAGGAAATGTTTTCTGAAGTTTTATTGCAACAACTGTAGTTACACAGCCAGTGGAACTGCATCATTCAGACAGTATAACTGTGCTGAAAGGAAAACCTTAGTGTATTTTGCTTAAAAACTAGTCTTGAAGAGAAACTAGTCTCCCTGTCCAGGGATGAGGAATGGTCCTACCTTACAGGTATAACATACTGATGGTGTATATTAAAAGTGAGCATGCTGCTGCTCCAGCTGTTTGCTGAAAAAATTAAAATTAAAAAAATGAGTGTAACAGTATGTCCGAATATCACTGCAAGTGACAGTCTTCACGTTAGAAATATTCCCTATTTGTGTCATTTTTATATAGGCTTATAAACACAGGAAGCACAACTGGTCTATTTAAACATACTTGCAAGGTAGAGCTATTATCTTTAGTTAATAATGTCACTAAGCAAAAACCTGAAGTCCAAAACTGGGCAGGTCTGGACTTGTGCTTTATTTAAACATCCAAAGCCCAGCGTAGCTACATGTTCCTGGACCCAGCAGCCAGATTTCACTCGTGGCTACCAAACAATTCCAGTTCTTACTGCAACACCTTCGCTCACCTCCAACAGAAACCCAGCCAGCTAAACCTGCCTCTGCTGAAAACACACCAACCCATCAAAACGAGTAAATAAGCTAAGCAGAAGTGGGCCTGAAAAGCTAACTTTTTAAATATTTAATGCGTGAAAACAAATAAGCAGCCCTCTATCGCTCACTGCTCTTCTTCTATCAGACTCTAGACAGTACCTTGAGCTTCTCATAACTTCCCTTTCTTCTCCTGAAAGGAAAAATAACATAAAGCGCCGAATTAATACAAACAGTTGTGACAATTCTACATACATTTTTATCCAGAGATTTTTTCTGCAGGCGGAATAATTTAGGGCTAAGACTACCTCTTAAAAATATAAATTTAGTGGATTTTGTCACATATTTTCCACCTGTTTTCATACTTCATCTAAAACCACCCACCTCTTTTCTTCCTTACCTTAATTTCTTCCCTTTTTTTATTCTTAACCTGAAACCAGTGCCTTTGAACATTTTGCAGGCAGCATGCCTTAACATCACCCTCATATAGACTGTATCTTGAGACATATTGGACCAAGTTTATCCAATTCACTTCCCCCGAGGTTCAAAGAGAGGGAAGCAACACGGGAGCTTCAGTTGCAGCCAGCCCCAAGGCAACACATTGATTTGCTCCCATACTTAGGCCAAAGACATATTTTCCTTGTCTTTACTATCCTACATTTCCCTATTTTAGTGAGCTTAAGAAATAGTGACCTGTTTGTTCAGCTGCTACAGACACAACACATTTTTTCAAAGAAATACCTGTACAAATTCAAAATATCATCCTAAAGACGGCACATTTTACCAGAGAGAATCCACCCAAAACAGTCTTTCTACTCTGTATTTTGCAAGTGAGATTTTCACATTTGCAGATAGAATTATGTGAGGCTGTACTACCAAACCAAGACAAACTGCAGTTCTTAAAGGTTTGAAAAATTAAAAAGCATATACATTAATAAAAGAAACGGCATCAGAAACGGTGTGTTCCTTCCTTGCATAAAAAGCAGCTACACATCAAAACACATGTTCCTAAAATAGCAGCGAGTATCTCTTTATAAAAAATTAAGGTAGTCCTTGTGGTCCCCTGAGGATCCTTGAAGACTGCCCTTCCTGAAGCACAGAAAAACAGTGACTGTGATAAAAATAAAACAAAATACCTATTTTCAAAGTCCTGAGCGAGCACACATTTATCTGAGAATTCTGGTATTGCAGTCAGGATGCTGTAACTTACCAGTGGCCATAATCAAATATAATGAGTAGTTTAGGAACTTACCATCCAAGTTAGCAAATTTTGTGCCCTGACTGAAAAAAATAATCTTTATGCATTTAAAAAAAATATATAAATCAGCACTCATTTAAAAACAAAACAAAAATCTTGTTTACATGCTTGGGAAGGACCTGAGTTTATGGTTCCACTCGTGTATCTACTGCAGCAGATAAAGGATCAAATTAACTCCTCCGGAGGGTTGAATTAATGGAAAAAGGAGCTGCTTCTGGGCACTCACCAGAGCTGTCTGGAAAAATCACTTGCTGAGACCAAATATGACTTGTGAGGAAAAAGGGAGTACGCAGAGCGCGTTGGAACAGAAACACCAAGGGTGACAGGATGGTTTGAATATCAAACCAGCAGAATTCCTTCTCTTTTCCCCACCCTGAAGACTAGCTCAGAGTCTCCTTGCCTTCTAGGAGAACCTCAGTGCTGGGCACCACAACGTCCCCCGTGAGCAAGAAAGCACGTTCATCCCATCTCTCCACCATCAAGGGCTCCTACACTCTCTACCACAAGTCCTCAACAGTGGGGCAGGAAGGATCATGAGTTAATCCTGGAGGCTGCAGAAGCTGTGCTACAGAGGATGTCACTTAGAGATACACCAAGTGCTTTCTAACTGATTCACGCATCTCAGCTGCTAAACTCCACCTCAAAAATAAGGAAGCTCTTTCACTAACCCTTGTGCTACTAATGGAGAGGGGTGAGCACAAGGAAAGACTCCACTTCCCGATCACAAATACCAGGAAAGAAAACTGCTGTCAGGGTTTTGCTAAAATGACAAGCCCCGTTCTCCCCTGCCAGAATATCCACAACTTTTTTTGCTTATGTACTTTGTAGGTTCTCCTTCTTCATTTTTTAAGAACAACATTCCCTTAAACAGCCACATCTTTAAAGACTTGGATTCTGTTTCACAGACACAAGGAAATCACAGGCTATTGTCACACTGGAGATCACAGTCTCAGACTGTAGGTGACTAAAGATTTGATAAAAAGGCAAGAAGCAAAAGCAGCGGTTGAACTGAGATCCTGTTCCCAGGTTCAGGCAATGCAAACGTTGGGATCATCTTCAAGGGATTGTCTTCAAGAGATTGTCTCCACTCACAAATGATACTGGCACAAGCAAATTACATCTTCCGACCACAGTCAGGAGGGGAAAAAAAAAAAAAGATAACACACAGATACTACTCACTAAAGACGATGACACAAACCATAGGAGGACTCCGGTTTAATGGTCCATGGTCAGAACCCCATTTATTAAACATTATAAACTTATCAATGTACACCATTTCCTATATACAAATCAAGTTTATCAATTTTAAAAAAAGTGCCATTTCAAATTAGGTTTTATTTAAAGCACAAGGTAATGGGAATTGCATCTTAACTGCAAGTGAATCAGTTCACAAGGAGCATTGAGAAAACACAGACACATCGACAGGGGCACGAGACACCTTTTAAGTCTTAACGTTGATTTACTGAAAACTTTTGAGGAGAAACATTCAGCTTATTTTATACAAACAGTACATAGTGCTTCCATCATCTCTATTAAAATTCAGTATACAGTTTAATCCTTTTAAAGCAAGGTACTCTGAAAACTTCTATTTTAAAATACCAGCCTATTTACCTATGCCAAACAAAAGGCCCAAATCCTGCAACTGAATCAAGGCAGATAAAAAGAGATGCCTGTGGAGACGGGCTGCAGGCACGTGAGCTAAGTGGAAAAAACCCAACACTTTTCCAAGGTATCCTACCACAAAAATGAGATGATCTAGCACACGGATCTCTTCAACAGACCATCCAGCCAAGCCAAGGCCTATAAAAAGGTGGATGGACAGTTAAGAAATGTCAAGTGACCACTATAAACATGTTTAAAATGTGACTGCACAACAGTATAAACACACAAAGGATGCTGGTTATTTCTCTACATGCCACAGTTACTTGTTCTACTCTATGCTACGCTGTAGTTTGCCAATGTTCTGCAAATGTGACCACACCAGGGGACACTATTGCGATACTGGATCCCTTCTTGACTGCTTTTTGCTCCATTTCACACCATTAAGGCCAGTCTCCAGGAAAGACTGTCGAAGTGACCGAGAAATAAAGTGACACTGAGTGGGAGTTGGGCTGAAAGAAGTTCTATAGAAGATTAGATAAAGAGAATATCGGATCAATTCACAGGGACAAGATGTAAGAACAAACTCCTCAAAGGACTTCACTGCGCACAAACGAAAAGGAAAGAACCAGCCAACAGCTTAAATCCACGCTTTTTTGGATTTTTTTCAGCGAAACCAGCGTGGGGGCACGTTTTTTTTTTTTTTCTGCGATATGAACGTGCTACTTCAATCCCATTTAAAGTCAGTACAAATAAAAAAAGATAGTAGTGAAAAAAAACCTGCTTTATTCTGGCTGCTGGAAACGGAGGCAGAGAAAGCGCTACCAGTATGAAAGAACAGTGCTGAAAATATCCTTGGCGTTTACATTAGGGGCTTCCTACAGCAAACTTAGCTTTGTTCTATTGCACAAAAATTGTAAATGAAAAGAGAAGTTCACAGAAATGTAACATTTTAGAAACCACTTTTGAAAAAAAGGAAAGTTAAGGGCACTCAATTCAAGAAAGTCCATTCAGGAAACCAAACAAAGCCATTTCTGGGGTAACTGCAGGGCATCAAAGTTAGACTTGAGAATAGCGAGGAATTGTTTCAGCCTTGCAGGCCCATCAGTACGGAAATGTAGCAAAATCCACAGAAATCACCTTGTCCCAACAGACACGCTCCTTCACTTTTCCTCAAACTGCAATTGTGCTTGGAATCATCCGCTAGCGGGAGGTTTCCGGGATTCAAAAGGTACTTTCAGCAGCTGCTGAGATCTTTTTTTTTAACCACAGGACGTGCAGCCAGACAGATCCACTTCATTTACCTGGATTTGCATTTGTATCTTCAAGGAGGGATCTCCTCTCCTCCAGCCGCGCTGACTTCCCTGGAGTTCCGCCCGCTGAACTCCCCCAACAGTCCTCGGGGTGGGAGAACCAAGACCCCAGCGTAAAACCACGACACAGGATTGTCCTAAGGCAGCTCGAATGTGAACAGATGTCAGATAATCTGCTTCCAAAGTCTAGCACAGCTCTTAAGTGCCGTGTTTTCCTCGGATCTCTTAC